AATGTAAAAATAATATATTAAGAAAAAAGGTTTACATTAGATACACCGTTAAAATTATTTAAAAAACAATTTGCATCAGATCATCTCTTCATATTTATATGTGTATTTGTTTTCTGTGAATGCATGTAATTGATTTAGAAACTAGAACTCGGCAAACTCATGATTTATGGTCTAATTTATTAATCTTAATTATCCTATTTAAATTATGGCATTTATGTAAGAAGGTAAACGCCAATGCCTGAGCATTGGAGCAGATGGGTCAAATGAGGGAGGGTGTGGCTGTTTTACGTTAATGTTTATGTTAACATAATTGTGGAATTTATTCCTGTACAATATACATTATTTAGACAAAATGCAGACCTAATACAAATTTTAAAAAAATCCCTTTGAGGTTTTCTATCTATATGAATATACAGCATGTGTAAGGAGGTAAAATCAGATGTTTCAACAACATTGAATATTTAATCATATCTGCTCTATAGAGTTTATACTGAACTATACTTGGATTAGATACAACAGAATAAAATTTGCATTCTACTACCAATCCCTAAATAAATAAAGAATAAAAGTTTAGATTTTTCGCACAGATTTTTATCTACCCTATGTTCATGTATAAAATAAAGATGAAAAGTGGAAAAGTTTATTTTGAAATAAATGTTTTTCTTTTTACTTGTACATCACAATGGACATTTCTCTGGATGAGATCCTAAAGGCTTTGTAGATGGATTTCAGTGGGTAAAGTGGTTTACCTGAGTGTCTTTTCTGTTGGCTGCTTCTATTTGTCTTTGCTCATTTACAATGAAAACTCAGTACATTGCAATGTGCAGGTTAATCAGAAAACCACAAGGTAAGCTATGTTATTGAGCACAAAAATAATTTACCAGAGAAAGGGGTTATGTTTTGCAAACCCACCTTAGACAAAATCATTCTGAAATTGGAAAGACAGCTGGTGGAAGCTTAGAATTATTTAAAAAAATATTATTTTTTTCTCAGTCAGTTTGATTTTATATGGAATAACACAGTGGACTCAGATGGTGTGGATGTTCCTTGTTTCTGCATGTTTAATAAAAATGAAAAACTATAATGCTATATACTAATTAGGAACAATTAATAGGTTTATTCCATGCTGAAAAAAAGAAGAAAGAAAACACAACGTTTCGGCCGTGGAGCCTTCTTCACCTGTTGATACTGTTCTACCATTCAATGTGGGCAGGAAGGAACACATTTTCACAGTCTTCTGTGTCAAAGGGGGCTAGCAGCTAGTGTAACTAGCATAACTCTCATTGTATCACTTCCTCCTGCAAACAGCGATTTTCAGGGGAACTCCCAGGGGGATGATAGCTGACCACTTTCAGCACTCTCCCTCTTGAAGGAGGTGGAATAAAAACCGCTGCTGGACATTTGATTATGGACCTCGTTGTGGTGGACCAAATAAAAAAAAAAACATACATTCCCTTGTTTCTTTGGGCAAAGAGGGCTAAAGAAAGTTTTCTTCAACTGTCCATATACCTGAGTGTAACACCCTGGTCTGCGTAGAAAGCACTTCGTAGTTTGCGTATTTTGGGGTGTGTTTCACAAAAGAGACAGACAGCTGAGGTTCTGTCCATGGAGGGGGGCATCGATGGAGATGTTTTTCCTCACTCTCTCTTTACGGTCGTTCTCTCTCGTGCTTTTATTGTGCTATCTTCAACCATCTCTCTCTCATATATGTGTAGGCTTTAAATACAATGGTACAGGTTGCACGGATTTCACATGCTCGTCTGCCTCTTTCCAGTCCTCTCGTTTCTTTCAGTTTGCATTTACGATTTTAGAAGCAGGCTATCGGTTAATGCAAAGTTTTTTTATGTTAAACACTGGGAATAATCTCAAATATCGTTCGTCAAAGCAACTCTCCTGTGTCCAGAAACCACATTTATGGACATTAAATAATACGATTAAACAGCTTCAAGGGACCTGAACGGAGAAAAAGTCCTTTAACTTTAACTTTCCACAATAAATGATGTAACCCTTCAGTATGAATTGAAAATGAATTAATTGTTTTTACAGTGCATTTGATTGCAGTTAACAGTAGTAATGTGTAGCTGATATTGAGGCCCTATACAATGCTGTTTTTTAACTTGCTTTAAAATGTGTAGCAAAGAGAGAAAGATCAATGCAGGTTCAGAACCTTCTGCTAAATGGTGAAGACTGCATGTTCTTCAGGAAATGGGAGTCAAATATGTGAGGTAAGCTTTGGGTCTAGTTTGTTCCTGTTTTCCGTCTCAGACCTGTAGGACATGCAAAACTAAAACGTTTGAAAATGATTAATAATAATTCGCTGTATGCTGGCTTCAGCCAGCTGCCACAGCCAGGTGGAGGAGAGGTAGGAAGAAGGATCCACATGTGGATGAGAGCTGTACATGTACTCTGCCCTGCGTCACCGCCCCTCCCCCAGCCCATGGCACGCTATGGGAATCAGTGCTGGGGGTATGTAAAACACATCAGCTGCCCTTTCTCAAACAAAACCTAGCTTCCCCGCTGTTCTCTGAGGGAAAAGGTGATGGTTCCATCAGAAATGTATGGTATACATCAACGTTTCCGTTCTATTCACAAACCTATATATACAGTTACTTAAAAAAAGTAACTTAGGAACTTTAAAAGAGTGCAAATTCGAGCTTAACACCCAGTTAATTGTAGGATAAACGACAGCCTCAAATTGCCAACATTTGCTCAAATACCAACTGGAATTATTTTTTTCACAATACAAAAATTACTTCAACCAATACTTGATACATCAATATTTTGAGGAAACAAAAAGTGCTCAACATATGCGGTACAAAATTCATTCGATTGGTGCCGCGCAAAACAACCTTGTTTAGGTGTTTTAAGGGACTACGTTTTTAAACAGTGATATACACGCGGGGTGTGGTAGGTGCATTAACTGGTACTTGTAAGTATGACCCACTTAATATTGTGTCGCCACCCCTCCGCGGAAGAAAAAACCTTCCAATTAGCCTAGTTCTGCTTGTTACCTATCTAAATCAATCAATGTTCACTTTTTTTTTGTAGAGTTGAGTGTGTCGGAATGTAAATCATGTATAAGTCACCGGGGATAAACGCATCCAATAAAGTAAGAACGAATAGATAAGTTGGTGTCACGTGACCTGCCCCCCCCGCAACCTCGCGCGGCGGCGGCCTGACTCGTGCACGCGCAGTGACGTTCAACAATACGTTGAGTGGGGGGAGAGAGCGCGCGCCGAGCGCAACAGCTGCAGATTTACAAACAGAGGAGACACAGCAACTTTCTTCATCTCCCACACGGAGGAGAGAAAAGCCAGCACCTGACACGGGCAACTCAGGGGAAGGCTGCCGAGAATGTGAAGTCCTGGGTAGGTATCGGTGAGATCGTTGTTTGTTTTTTTTTTTTTCAAAATTTCCTAGAATGTGTTCTTTTTTCCTTAGTTGATTTTGGAGTTTTGAGCAATTCAATCATCCTAATGTTAGCGAACCACACGCTCCACTGAGCGCACACACACACACAAAGCAGGAAATACTGTCCGTGTGTCTTAAACCGTCGCTCTATCTTCCCTCTCAAGACGGGATATTAAACAAAGGGTTTGGCTGAGGAATCACAAATAGGTCGAGACTGTGATCTACTTCGCCACGGAGGGCTGTAGACTCAATTTCGGACATTTTGCACGAGTGGGTATAGAAATAATAGCCCCCCCCCTCCCCCCTCCTCTCCCAAATAAAGTTATTCGCATTTCATCTGACTGTGTCGTGACTGTTGGAGGCAGCTTTATCAATAATCACTGGGTCAGAAATAATTCAACGAAATACTGTCGGAAGCGGGCAGGCTGGAATATCCCCTTCTAAAGCTGAAGCGTGGCTCTCCAACTGTTGAAGCACCCGAAGAATACAGAATAGCCATTCATGTCTCTCTACATTGTATTTCAGGAAGTCCCCACAACTTTCATTTTATTTCTGATCATTGTACGAGACTTTCAACGCGCAACGTCCCTCCCGAAATGCGCTTGAGCAAGAAATCAACTCGTTGCGGTTTTTGACGAAAGGCAGCCTGAAAGTTAATTGATCGGTTGTCAGGTTGTTTTTGCTTCATCTGGGTGATTATTATTTTTTTTTTTTTGGTGTGTGTGTCTTTTGTCCCTACGGTCTCTTGAGTGCAAAATTGATAAACAGTAGTTGCCTCATTTTAATTACAGGACAAAAGAAAACGTCACTACCCCCCCCCTCTCTCTCCTATCCACCCCCCCATCCACAAAAAAAGTCGATTAACAGTGCAACTCGCCCAGTGTTTGTGTAGGATCATGAAGAACAGATTTGCTTTGTGAGCAGAGGCAGGGAACTAATAGAAGGAGACATTTGGAAGACTTCAAGGTTATTTATCGGACTTTAAGGTAGTAGAAGCTTAAATCGCGAAGATCCATACTTTTGCGTATATATTTATATGAATGTGTGTACACAGTTCTCGCCATTGTGTCGACTTCAAAATCTATACTCAAGCTACGAATAGAAAGCAGATACGTATTTTTCTCTACAGACGTGTGGATGTTTGCCTGGATGTTGATATACTAACGCCTGCATCTCGATTGCCTCAATACAAAAAAACAAAACAAAACAAGCTTATCGCAGCTACAATCGGTTCGGACTGAAAGTGTGGAGAGAGGGGGAAAAAAATAAACACGTGTCAGGGAAGATGTTCGGCAAACTCGTAATGAATATGAAATAGTTCGCCTCAGAACGAAATCGGAAGTGTGCTGCTTCCCATTTTTAGTTTCAGACAAATCTGGTAGTCGGGAGCTCGTTCCGGCTGGTGCCAAAGGTCCGAGGTGTTTAGAGGGGCTGATTTATTGGAGCACTCGACGATTTTTTTATTTTTTTTGGGGGGGGGGCTCGTATTGGATTTTTCATACCTGGTGGGTGAAGATCTCTACCCGGAAAAAAAAACAAAAGATGAGGGGTTCGGACAAGTTGAGAGTTTCCGCGGATTGCATACGCGTATTAGAGTCGTACCGGTGGGCAGTTGGGCAAAGCCCACGGGTGAAGTAACTGAAGTGCAGGTTTGAATAGCAGGCAGCGGCTTGCTGACTAATGAGTGATTGCGTGTTGCTGGGCTGGTGGGGGGTTGGTGCGTCTGAATAGGTAGCGAAAGCTCGGATAACGCGACAATAGCCCCCGCTGAAACTTTTCACGCCGCCGAGCCGTGCGGCGGGCTGGAGGTGCCCGTGGGGGGGGGACGGCAGGTCGGGATCCCCAGTCGCGCTGAAGCCCCTGCGAGCCGATGAAATTACCCGCGGTAGGAATAGTTTATGATCGCCCGGGTGTGGGGTCGTCTCTCTCTGGTGCTTATCCTCGGGGTGTGCATTCTACAGGGGGGCAAAACAAAACCCGAAACGAGGTGTTGCCAATCCTGCCCATATTATGTGCTGGGGGGGGGGGTTATATGTCGCTGTTGAACATTATGCTGAACTTCTCGTTTCCTCGCTTTCGAAGATCCATTCATTCGAGCGGTGATGTCACAACCGTCGTTTTGCAAGGCTGCAGGAGCCGTTGTTGGGGGGACCGAGGAGCTGTAGCGCTTTAAACCCCCCGCGGTGGGTTTAGCCGTGGCCCCCCGAAACGTTAATTTGGGGGGAAAAAAAACAACAACCAACAAACCCTGGCGTTATGTGGGTTTCTAGAGTGTACCGTGTTGGCGGAGGTTGTTGTGTTTTTTTTTGTGTGTGCGATTGCTGAATGGGTTTGCAAGCGCAGCCCCACAACAAAGGAATTAAGTCATGGAAAAGCAACAGCTGGCCTGCTCTTGGCTGGAGAGGGGATGTCTTGCCTGTACAATGAGCTGCGGTCGTTAAGACGGGGCTTCTGAAAGGAAAGGTGGTGGATCGTGAAATATTGTGGAGTCCACGAGAATACAATACCGCCAAAGCTGCGTTAGTAAAAGCTCATATCCCGATTTGAAATGTGGCAGTTGTGTGTTGTAGTTAGGGGGTGGTGGTGGCTGTAAAGATGGTCTGATGCGTTTCTGGAGTTTTTCTTAGACTTCAGAACATTTCAGAAGTGCAATTTGTGACCCCACAAGCAGATTGCCATGTGTTTTATCTATGGTCGGTGAGAGGTTGTAGACCCAGTTAAAGTGTACTACAGATTGACATACTCTGCTGCAAATTATTTTAATCATGATGTAGAGACATTTTTTTTTTACAAAAATGTGAATAGTTAGCATACATGACCAAGAATAATGCACAGTTCGTTGACTGTTGTATACTTGAAACTGTTGTATACTTGATACTGAAACGGATATTATTTCTTTAAAACGTTGGAAAATTTTGAAAATGCCATCACTTTTTGAATGCAGGTTGATTTGTGATGGTATGAAAAGGAGAACTGGAACTGTGAGAGATAAACCACCTTAGTTTGTGAGTTTTGAATAAGTGGCAAGTCTCCTGGGTCAGTTGTCAAGTTATTCTACCACTGACTTTTCTAAAGAAACTAGGAAGTGTTGGTGAAGCCAGGAGTGTTTTTGAAGAGCTTTGTTGGCCTGTTGCCACGCTGAGCAGAGCAGAACTGGAAGAATTTTAGTTTCCACAAAACTTGTTATACTTGATCACAGGGTAGACAATCGACAGAGAGCGCTGCAAACATTAACATTTGTTTGGAAAATAGGGTACAGCCTACTCAAACTAGTCATAGAAAAATATTTTACAGGAAGAGAAAACAAAGAAATTTCAGTTATGTTATAGATTGAATTTTTGCTTTTTAGGGAAGGGCACACTACACAAAATGTAGTTAAAAGCATTTTTTATGACTGAGAAGTTATGGTATTCTTGGTATTAGTTATCCTTGTGTGTGATGGTTTTATATATTTCAAACAGCACTGTTACTGAATTACAGTGAACCTTTAACAATAGAATAGAAAGACATTTGTCAAATGAGGATTTGATATGTAATGTGGACGAAGTAGTTATGTGTTAAAATCCAAGTTAATTACCCAGTTATTTTCTTTCATCTTTTCTTGTTCTATTTCTATGACATTACCTGTGGCTTTGTGTAAAAAAAGATTCTAGTCTCTGCATTTTCAGGCTTGGTGACAAAAGGCAGATGGTTGATTAGGACGTTTACTCTCTTCTTGCCAAGTGGATTAAAAATCAAGAATGTAATCTAACCAGGGAGTTTAGAGGTGTTGTCAAAGACTGTTGGGCTTATTCATTACAGCTGCAGAGAAAGATGTTTGCTGATATCAAGTTATCTTGTACTGACAAGTGAACTGATAATTGCAGTAGCAGTCTGCAAAGCAGAACAACAAAACAAATAAGTCTACAACAAATTCAGACCAAACTATTTTTCCTTCTTCTTCTACCTCCTTATACTAATTTTGAAGATTGCTGGTTTAATTTCTTATAAGAAGCAGCATTTAATTGAACCATATCGCCACACGGTTTAGAGCTTTAGTTGTATTTAAAATCCTGCCTGTGTGAAGAAGTGTTGTAGCCTTTCTTGTTGGTACATCTTTATGGTTGTATACAGGAGAGGAGCCAGAATGACTCTAGATTTCTTAACAAGTATACTTCTCATTGCCCAACACCCGGAGCAGCTCTGTGGAAATGGCGTTTACGGAGGGAGTTGTGGTGTTCTTGTACAGCAGTGGGAATACGTATTGTTCGTGTTGGGCCTGTTTCATAAACTAGAAGGTAACTTCTTGTTGGGAAAGTCCTTTAGTTACAGAGGGAAGCACCTGCTGTCCCTTGGTGTTGGTAGCCATGGCATGAGTCATTTGCGATGATGGGCTTGCTCTTTCACATTTAAAGCACCTTTCTTTGGGACGGTCACCTTCACTGTCCACACATGTCTGGGTCTTGTGCAACTTGTGGTATTGTGCTTTACATGCTGGAAAACGGTTTTCCCCAGATGGCGCTGCTTAGGAGAATTGTGTGGCAGATAAAAGGTGCTACTCCTGTCCAACTGGGAACTGGTATATAGGCTCTTACAGCTGGAGCACTACATTGATCAACAGGGAAAGATCTCTGGCATCGGAGGCCAGCTGGAAACATCTATTAGTCAAGCTACAGGGCAGATCATAGCGTTTGTTTTCAAATATCAGACTTACTTGCAGACGTTTTCTAAGCTCTGGTTTGAACAAGTTCCATGAAGGTGTGTTTTTCTTTCTGTCATTTAAGTCTATAATTTCTTTTAAAATCTAAAACACACCCAGAACTGATTGTAGTGATTTTGGATTGTTACTCTGAAAGGTCATCGGTATTCTAACACTTGTGTGAAGGCTAGGATTTACCAGTTACTGCAACGACACAGTCAGTATGGGAAATACTGAATCATGAGAATGAAGACTTTCATGCTCTTTTTTGGGGGGGCCTTTCTTGTCTGTTTATTGCTGTCAATAATTAACATAAGAATGGTAAACAATATATGACAACAACTGTTCAGGTTTTTCATATAAACTGCATTGTTTTAGATTAACTCATTTTTACACAGCTAAAAATGTTTAGGACAGACACATTTATTTAATAACCTGTTATAAGTTAGCATACTGTATTGTAAATGCAGCATTTCAGTCCATTCATACTCTTAATTGCATGATTAAATTGACAAAATAAGCAACTTTGCTTAGCAACTGTTATAAGTATATTCACACAATGGTAAGTTTAGAATACAGATTTAAAAATAACTTTTTTTACATGCCAATGACATGTAAACACTGGCATAGGTCTCTAGATGGAATAATACAGATTAACATTTTAACATCCACGTTTTGTATATGAATTTGCCATTTCCTCACAGGCCAAGTTCTGCCTATTAATATGTCAAGTGAGGTAAGCTGAGGTTGTTTTTTTTTCCCTCTCATTTGTTCACAGATTCACCGTAGAGAGGATGTTTTCATTCAAAAGGCCTGAAAGCTGTTCCAGAAATCTTGCAGGCATTTATTTACTGAGTGATTAAAGCCTTCACTTATAGCACCAAAAAATGAAATTTTAAAAAGCAAAAAAAAAAAACCACTACCTGGTATCAAATAATAGTATTTCTCCCCTCTCCATAACAGATATCCATTAACAGACTGACCTTGACTTAGCTCTGGGGTCACAAGACTGTATTTTGCTAATGATTATCTCTACATGAGTGTATTCTGACTCATTATAATCTGAAAAGTACAGTTTCTAAATGCATGGAACAACATTTGGGCCAGTTTAGTTTTCTATACAGCCCAAGAAGTGGTGTTCAACTTTGATTTATAGAAATAAAATCAGTAAATTGCAGAACAAGTTTCAATTTTCAGTTCAAAGGGAAGATGTTTTTCTTAATATAGTGTCGACTTGAAAAGAAGCTGCTTTCTGCTACCTTGTTGGGCCCCTCGACCAAGATAAGATGATATGTGTCGCTTGGGTTTCTCTGGGTTGCAGCTCTCCTAGGCAAAGTCACTTGATAACACAGGGGAACTGAACTGAAAAACCCTTAAGTGATTTGCTTGCATCCAGAACTAAAAACAGAGCATTGTGTAAATGCTTATTGTAGTACGCATATTGTAAGAAAAACTGCTGGGTCATTTTTGTTTGTGTTGCTATTGAGTGTGTAGGGCAGCACAATACAGTTATCTAAAATGTTGTCGGTGACTTTGTCATTGTGTATTTTGATAAGATGTACATCTGAGGAATTGTAGGTTTGCTGTAATGTTCTGGATTCCCTGCTTTCCACTTTGTGCAGCACTGTTTTCATGTGCTACTGCACTTATTGACATTCAGTGCTGGTGGATCAAGTTATCAAACCAAGATGGTGTGATTAAGGCACATTGCAAATATTTAATTTGAGTTATTTGAGTCCATAATGTCTTTGAGAGGAAACGGCTATATTTGCTTTAACATTTGAGAATCAGCTCACATGTAAAAAGAATCATTGTGAATGTATAATGTAATACATCGATCAAAAACATCACTTGTCAAAAAATGGAGTAAACTCTACCATAACATAGTAGATTGTAATAACCTTACCCTGACACTACCCATGCCTTTTGCTTGAGTTCAGTACATTTGATTATGTGCGTGGGGAATATTTAAATTTTTTACACGTCTTATTCCTGCACGTTTATGTGATCTTTTAGCTCCAGCCCCACCCCCCTCCCCCCAACTTAAGAGCACTAGATCTCTTTGAGAGAGTTTGTGTGGGTGGCTGGAGTTCCTCAGATTGCCCAAGGTTTGATACATGGTAGAAGTTTTGACTTTGTTGCAAAAGAAGTACAGGAAGATGGTGAATTAATGACACTATTCCTTTCTAATTATTTTGTCTGTCTTAAGGTTCAAACTGCAAAAGCTAAACCAAATTAATTATGTTTTGACATTGTCTTGGTGTGGTGGAAAACCAAATTTTAATTTTGGTTATACATGAAAGACGGGTTAAACAGTTTTAGGTCATGTATTTTATATATGCATAGTTATTCTGTCTCAGCTGAGCCATTTTATAGTTTTCTCATCATTCAAGAGTGAAGCTAATGGAAAATAATCAGTTTGGTCATTGTTCAGAATATTTTATCCAGAGTTACTGATATGAAATGGTATATTTGTTGTTTGCCTGTGAGAGTGTTTTTCTTTGCTTGTAACTTCCTGCTTTTACTTTCTGTATGTCTCTGCCCTAAATGGGGCACATGAAAGCTCTGCTTGTGACTTATATACTGCTGTGCAGTGTTAATGTCAAGAATTTTTATTGCAGATTTTTCAGCATTATATGGTTCTTTAACTTTGTAGAAAGTGAAACTCTCAAGAACCTTCGTTTAGTCTTGACTTGCTTCCAGCACCAGCACAGGATTTCAGATTGTGAAATTCCTTGCGTTGCCTGTAACGTATGCCTTTAGCTCAGAAAGACTTCCCAAAGCCTTGCTGATCTTCCAAATCATGTTATCGTTGTTCCAGGTGTACTCTAGATTTGATCTGAACTGTTAGAAAATGGCGTTGTACTTCGCAACATCACATTTGGAGGAAAGTTTAAAGATTGCACAACCTTCTTACCTTTTCACAGCTGCAGCCTGAGGAAGGATAGCTCTGAATAATGTCATTGCCAGATTGAGAGTTCTTTTTGAGTCAGTAGTAGCTGTACTGTGGTTTATGGTTCATTGTCACCCTGGGGAAGCATACATTTGTAAACTCTTCTTTTGTGTCTGTTATAGAAAAAAATAGTCTGTTTAATGCAATATTTGCAGTAGAGAATGCCAGACCCTTTATGTGTAAGGTTAAGTCTGTAACATTGGATGAGATGTGAGGATGTGTTCAAAGAAACAAAAGTTGTTGTGATTGTACTCATTTTGGCACATGCTTCTAACAGTTGAGGAAATGCTTGTGTAAAATACTGGTAAAGGATGTATTTCCTGTTTTGTTTTGTAACACAAAGTTTCTAGTATTAGCTGAAGCCTCCTTTAATTTTTACTCTTCAAGTGTTTGAGATATTAGTGTCTTTGCAGTTTAACATTCTGTTTATAAACTGAGTTAATCATGTTACGTAAGGGGCTGGTTCATGGTATTCACTCATATGTATTTCGACAATAGATATACAGGTGTCACATCTAATGGTTTTATTTTTCTTTCTAAATTACAGGTGCTGATTGGCCCATAACTTGTCAAGACCGGTTACTGCTGAATGTGTCAGAACAAAGAGACGCAACGTAATCATACTAATATCCTTTATTGAAAAGGCTTTCATGTAACTCATTATGCTTTACCACAGCACCAGTATAAAGGATGGCTCATGTAGGAGCAGACCTGCAGGATCACATACTGAATAAATGAACATTGACTGAAGAACAAAGAAACCCAGTTTACACAATTCTAACATGCAGAAGTGCAGGAAGAAGACAAGATTCCTTGGAAGTGCCTGATATTTTGCAAACCTCAAACTCATGTGCTCAATCTAAAAGCTGTGAAACATCCCTGTTTCAAAGGCTTTTGTAGTTTATATTTCTGAGAGATAGTTGGCACAGCCTTGTACTTCTTTATAAAGGTGTTTTTGTTATTGTCAGAGACATGCCTACTCATCCTTTAATATCATACATGGAAAGTCCCGATGGACTGGGTCAAGATACAGCGAATACCAATGCCAGCATGCCAGGCACAGGCTCGAGCATGACCCCGCACACCAGCATTCCAGAGAAAGCTCTGGCTCAGGTGGAAGGGTGCACGCCCTTGGACTGTATGTTCTGTGAGAAGACTTTTAAACACCAGGACGAGCTCAGCCCCCATGTCCTGACCCAGCACCCAACCACCCTGTTTGGGCCGGCGGTTCTGCGCGTGGAAGCGGAGTTTCTGACTCGGAGCGAGAAAGGCAGGGCCAAGCCAACTCCTCCCAGTGACAAGGAGGAGGGCGTCAGCTGCGAGGTGTGTGGACAGCCCGTGAAAGACGCAGCGGAGCTGGAGTGTCACATGAAGAAGCACAAAGACTCTTTCACTTACAGCTGCAACGTTTGTGGGAGGCGTTTTAAGGAGCCCTGGTTCTTGAAAAACCACATGAGGACACATGGGAAGCCGGGGTCAAAGAACAAGGCGCAGCAAGACCTGGAAACTCCCGTAACCATCAACGATGTTGTCCAAGAACAGACATCGGTCAGTGTGATTTCTCCATACAAGATGTGCATGGTTTGTGGGTTCCTCTTCCACAATAAAGAGATCTTGATGGAGCACAGCAAAATTCACATCCGGGAATCTGAACCTGATGAAGGAGTACAGGAAACGGACAGGCAGCGCGCAAGTGTTGCTCCAGCATCCAAAGAATCCTTCTTGCAATTTGTTGGTCTGCGTTCCCGATCCTCGGAAACGGATGCAAAATCTGAAAAGTCTGCAAAATGGATTGCCCAGCTTGACCCTTTTAACACCTACCAAGCCTGGCAGCTTGCTACCAAGGGTAAAATAGCTGTCGGCCCAGGACAGACCAAAGATCTTGGCCCGGATGTCAGCACGGATAATGAGGACTCATGTTCGGATAAAGAGGAACTGAATGAAATCTGGTCCACAAGCAAGAGCGAAAAGGCGGTGAAAGAGGGCTTTGGACATGAGCAGAGATCAAAGCACGCAGGAAGGGAAACCCCTTCACCAGAGCTGGATCAGAAGTCCGCAAGCAGCAAAGACAAGCCCACTCAGTGTGGAGACTGTGGGAAGACCTTCAGGACCTACCACCAGCTGGTGCTTCACTCGAGGATACACAAGAAGGATAGGGGTGGGTCTGAGAGTCCAACAGCCTCGATAGATGGCAAGCAGTTAAGCACAAGCTCCAGTGACAATGGGATGTTAGACAGAACTGAAGAGTGCTCTGAAGATGGCTCAGAAGAAGGACTGCATGGTGATGCCTTTCAGTCAGGTATGCTTTTAACCATTATATCAGAATGTGTTTAATGTTGCTACAGGCAAACTTATTTAATCACAT